CGTTTTTTCTCACCCTGGACAACTTAAAGATGTGTGGCCTACACCCCCAAGAATCCCCCAGCCAACATGGCTGGCTGGGGAATTCTGGAAGTTGAAGTCCACACATCTTAAAATTGCCAAGGTTGAGAAAACATTGATCTAGAGGTTGCCCTGATTTGTGCTGCTCAGATGCGGTTGCTTTATAAATGTTCTTGGGGTTTTGACACATAGGGTGCTCTGATGGTGGGGTGCTCTGAGGTACATCCACATCATTTTTTCCCAAAAGATTACTGTCCTGTTGACAAATGGACTCCTCAGTCACCCGGACAGCCCAAAGTTGGAGGTTTTGTGTCTCTTGCCTACCACCTAGTGGTCATCTGGATTTGTGCAGCCGAGATGCAGCTACTGGATGAGTGTGGTGGAACAGCTGGACTTTGACAAAAGGATTTTGCCGCATATACGTAAGTGGAGAGATCAACTGATCCTTCAAAATACAGCAAATAAAGCCACTGAGGAAAGGGAGGTTCAATCTGTCTTGCAACCAGAGCAATGGTAAATACAGAGGAGAGCCCCCTGACCTCTCTCCATCACAATGCATATAGAAAGCCCCCCTCCTCCCCCAGGACCATCTGCTTCACATCACAGCATGAAGGGAACTAGCTTTCAAGAGCACCAATGGGATGTGTGCAACTCTCCAACTATCAAGCGTTTGGGGTTACAGAAAGGTGAATGTTCTCAAAATGAACATTATTCCCAGATTCATTTATATTCTGAGAGGAATTCCTGTTCAAATATCTGGAAAATATTTTCAGAAAATAAATTCTTTGTTTAGAAAATTTTTATGGGGTTCTTCAGTTCCAAGAATATGTTTACTAGAAAATGCAATTATCAATTAATGAGGGAGGATTCGGTTTTCTGAATCTGGAGCTCTGTCATCAAGCTTACCTATTGTCAAGTATTAAGTACTGGAAGCCAACAAGTGGTGTTAATTTTCCAGTTTGGGCAACTTTGGAATATACATATATAACACCTTTGGTCTAATGGACAGTATTAAGATCTAAATACAATAGAATTCTAGTATCTCTGGAAGCAATTATGTCAGAAAGCTATGGAATGTAATGTCTAATTAAAAAAAAGATTTGATCCTTTCTCCCATGCTAAGTTGACTTTATGGGGAAACCCACTTTAAAAATTGGGAAAAAATTGGGAAAAAGAGGGTGATAGAGAAAAATTGGATGGAACTGGGGATATTGGCTTTGTGACCAATTGATAGATGATGAAGATGAATTTTTAACATATGCTGTCTTAAGAGATAAATATCATCTATCAGATGTAACCCAATGGCAATATTTACAGCTACAATATTTGTTAACGTTGTTTGGACCAGCAGCATTTTCACCTTCTGAGACACCTGAGATATTAGAACAACTTGTTTAATCCTTTAAAACGAAAAAAACCTACTATTAGTTTGTATTGATATTTGTTATCAATAAATCAGTTTGATATGCAGATACTAAGAGATGAGTGGAATAAAGAATTAGAGGTTC